TTTACATGGCCCCTTTACATGGCAGCTGTAGTAGACGTCGCAATGCCCTAGACATTGCTTGCACGCATTTCTTGGATGGCGGTGATGTCAGCTTTTGTCCTTACGAGGACATCAACCAGCCGGGCAGAGGCACCTTCCCCATTAAGGGTCCGGACATTCCAGGTGCATGCCCTCAAATCGTAGTCCTTTAGACGTTTACCGTGGTCGTCATCATAAGGGGGGGTCTCATCCGAGGCTTTGCCATGCTTCTTCACTGCAAGTGGTTTTTACGTGGCGGGTCCCAAGCCCAGCGCACAACCCATTGCTGGGACGGGGGTGGTTTCGCAACCAAATACACGTTTATATAGCGAGCCGCTTGCTCCAAGCAGACACCCGCTTGCAGCCGCNTAGCCGCACCTACTGGGGGACAGTCGCTGCAGACTTCAGTGAGCCCTTAAACCGAATAAGTCGGAGTGGCCCCACCGAAGCTCCCTCTCTTTCTTTCGTGACCCAAGGCTCCAATCGGATTTGTTACCGCATCTCGCACATGGGTTGCTCACGTTGCCAAGAGTGCGCGAACGAGGACGCAAGAGTCGGGATTGAGTATAGCCATGCAACTGTAACTGCATACCCAGCGCAACGACTATACCCTATTGCACTCCAAGTTTAATTCCACATAGCATTTTTTTAAATGGCATACATTTTTCGTCATATCAATGCCTAGTGGAAATTCAGCATAAGGTTTTTCGTTGAAAAATAAGTAGTTTATATAATTATATAGGTAAGTTTATAAAAAGGCATGGATGAGTTTCCACACTGTAGTAAGCAATACTGAAGTAGTTTCTGGATATTCACTGCGGTCTCCAGTAATCGACAAAATTCTGCTTTTACAGACAGCGTTTAAGTATAAGTTCTGCGTTATTGACTAATATAACTAGGGAGAGAGAAATCAGCTGACACGAATTTACGGCAAAAAAAATGGTGCTCTCATAAGATAGATCGAGTCAGCTGACACGTTCTAAGAATTTGCCTCCTAGATTGCGTGCGCCTGTAATTATAAAAATTATTAAATTAATTTATTTTCTTCCAGATTTGCAGAACGAGCTTTAATTTCAATAAGTGAATTCAAAAGGATGAGTTGCTGCTTTAACGGTTGTCCAAACACTATCCATCTTTGTAAAGGAACCAAAATTAAATTCTTTAATTTTCCACAATTGCCATATGTACGGAAAAAATGGATAGAGGCTTGTTGCATAAACCAAAGGGACTTGCCGAACCGCCCTTTTGTGTGCTCACTGCACTTTGTGCAAAGCGATTTAATATTCTGCAATAAAAAAATTATACTTTCTAAAAGCGCTGTGCCAATCGAGTAAATATAACCTAATTTATACATATATTATATAAATATATTAAATAATAATGATATAAATTCCTTAATAGCAAGTTTGTGCAAGACCTTCAAGTGCAGCCGAAGATGGAATATTCCTAAATTAACTAGTTGGAGTCATTACTGAAATAAAAATGCAGGGCGTAAAATTATCTTTTGACGTGGCAAGATTAAATTTTCAAGCGAATTTCTAAACGGTTAAAAAGAAAGCATTTGCATATTTTATTCTTAAGCCCAAAATGCAATAACGCAGTGGCAGTGGCAGCGGCAGTTTTTGAAATCAGCTGTTTTTTCGAAAGTGTGGTGTTCAATGAAGCGTCTCACAATACAGCAGTGGCAGCTAGCAGTACTGCTCAGTTTAGCCCAAATTCTATGTAAATTCACTGCCACTGCCGCAAACATCACAAAAACTTGGCATATTGAATTTGACTGAAGCCGTAAAGGCAACAACTAAAATATAAACAGACAAAAGGAAATGTCAAAAAAGCAGTCGCTGAAAAGCCGTATTGGCTGCATTTCTTTATTCATTCCGAACGTTTGGAATAAACTTTTTTGTTTACTTATTATTTAGAACGTTCCTGATGATATGTTAACGTATATTTCAAACGCATTCTGTTTATTCCGGCTGTGAAATGGGATTATCCGGAATGTATAAAGAAACGCAGCCATTGTGTTTGCTGCGGCAGTCACTGCCAATATTAGCAGTAACAGCTGATTTTAAAAACTGTCACTGCCACTACCACTGCGCTTTTGTATTTTGGGCTTTAAGCCGCAATATATGTATAGACCAAACAAAATGTTAAGGCATAGATCATAAGCAAGATACATTTGTATGTACATACATATATGCACAAAATAAATTTATAAGAATATATGTATGTATTTGTTTTTATTTATTACTAGCATTACCGTGCGCACATGCTTGCTCACTCGGTGCCCACAGACGACGAACAAATCTAAAAACTTAATTTTGTGCTGCAACCAAAATGTATTCAACAAAGTGTGATCGAATTTGACATTGCTCTCAGAAGAACCATCCTATAAAGTCAAATAGAAAATTTTTTTTACGAATTTTGAATCGCTTGTTTATATTTTTCGGCATAATAGTACCTTAAAAGAGAGCCTACCTGAGTTGTCAATCACACCTTGTTTAATACATCTTGGCTGTAACTGTAACCAATGCGCAACCATATAAGGTGGTAGCAAGCGCATATAAGTAAAAATCCCGTGTATTTTGTTTATTGCTTTTTTGTACATCAGGATGTCAAAACGAAAGAAAATATGAGATAATTTTCGCCATTTCGTTTTGTTGAGTTCCTAAAGTTACGCCACTTCGTCTTGGATGACATTCTGCTGTACTAATGTAGAGACAAAAATATCAAAAATAACACCACCTTATATATCCTTGCTGGAATAATGTAGTAGTGTAACATAAAAGTATAGTTTTGAGAAAAACGACTTAGAACTTTTTATAATCCAATCGACCAAATTTAAACTTTAATTGTGCGCTTCTTATTCAAAATATTCACATTTTAAATACACCACACTTTTTATTGATTCCTTAGCTGTTAATTCACAAACAAATTATGAACCATGTTTACTTAGAAATACCATTTGAGCCAATTTTTCTAAAAGCATCTGCTTATACCATCTTTACCAATTTTTATATGAAATAATTGTACACTATTTTATCTAAACATGGAAACTATAGTTTTGAGAAAAACGAATTAGAACTTTTTATAATCCAATCGACCAAATTTAAACTTTAATTGTGCGCTTCTTATTCAAAATATTCACATTTTAAATATACCACACTTTTTATTGATTCCTTAGCCGTTAGTTCACAAAAAAATTATGAACCCTGTTTACTTAGAAATACCATTTGAGCCCATTTTCTAAAAGCATCTGCTTACACGCTATTTTATCTTTAAACATTTTTATTTGAAATAATTGTACACTATTTTATCTGTTTGCATATTCAGAAAAAGTAATTGATGTATGTCGATATTACACTATTTTATTATTTACATTTTGAAGCTGCCTGTGAAAGTTAGCAGCAATATAATGAAGTAAAATACTCTGACGTTATTGTAGGATCGTAGGCACGTACGCGTGTGTGAATAGGGCTTTAGGCATATACATGTGCTTGTGATTAGACCGTAAGAAGTAGGTTAAGTAACTAGACCTTAAAACTAGTTGTATTTTAGCGAGTAAGACCCGTTGTTTGTAAAATGCTATGCGCCATTTTCAAGAAGAATAAAGATGACATTCGATTTTGGACACTGAGACCGACGGCCGCGTTTTAATTTATTGATTTGCCACCGGATATATTACATCAGAAGTGGTCTTATAACCAAATTAAAGTAAAGCATAGTTAAGTAAATTTTCGAATATTAAAGTAGCGCGCAAAATTTAAGCTAATATCTTACGATGAATCGCGAAGCTGTGATCGCAGAAAGAGATTCGTTATTGCAGTTAAAGAATTGGTGCAGTTCCATGAGCATCAACGCGAGCGGTGCAAAGGCTGGCCTAGCGAGCTGTCCGCCGAAGCTCGAGGATTATGCCCAGGCATCGACAAAGCGGGTGAACAACGGCATGATGCAAAGTCTACCGAACAAGGAATTCTAAGCGAAGGCGATGTTAAAGATAACGGCGAGAGCAACATAGAGGACAACGGTGATGACGATATTAACGGGAACAACGACGACGGTGAGAACAACGGCAGTCTTGAGGAGCAAAAGTGTACAACGGTGCGGTAATGCAATGGTGATCAATGACGACGACGCGGTATATGTACAGAGTGGCGTAGCGTATGTGCGTAACGGTGCCTTCGGAAGTCGTCCGGTTAGAAACGCCGAAGAAAATAGCGGCACAAGTAATATTACGTTCAAATTGGCCCCATTTAACTGGTTAAATGAAAAAGAGCTTTTTGTAAAACACAATCGTCCACATTGAACATTTGGAGTTAACTTTGACGGTTGTTTCATTTCAAATTAAAAAAGAAAAAAATATTCAAAATTATGTTTTTGTGTTTCAATTTGCTTTGTGCGAATGTCTGCTTCATGATATTAACGCATACGGATTACTTAGAGCCTTTAAAATATTAAGTTCATATGCACTATTTATCTCTGCGTACGATGAGACCTGATGGGAAATAACTAATTACCGCCTTGATTTCTTTTTTGGCGGGCAGACATGCATACAATTTTAATATTTCTTGATAGTTTTTAATTTTTAATATTTTTTCGAATATAAATTTTTTGAACGTTGGCGTGTCAAATGAAAGCTTTTGGCTCTTTCTGATTGGCTGAAGCAGAAAGCTTTCTGATACAACTCTGCGCTGAACTGGTTTTCAAACGAGTTAAATGATTTAACTGGTGCAAATTTCCAACAACAATTGCATGCGATTTAACTTGTTTATAAACACGTTCTGTTCATTTAACTGGTTCAAGCCCATTTAACAAGTTTAACTCGTCAATTCGGACGTAATATAACCGTACAGCAGGCGAGTTAACCGCGATTCGTGACAACGACGACGCGGAAGTAGCGGCCCCAAAAATTTAACTGCTCGAAAAGGAGATACAGTTGCTTAAACTTCAGAAGGCACAGTGGGAGCAGAACCAGGCAATGGCGAGCAAGACCAAAGTAGATGACAGGTTCGTTTTTGAGACGCTGAAAGAAGTTATACTAACCTACGTTGGTGGCGATGGTTTTGGTGCGTGGTATAGCCAAGTGATGCATTATCGCGAAATTTTCAAAGCAAACAACGCCATGCTGTGTGTAGCTGTACACTTGAACTTGAAGGGCGCCGCTTTAGTATGGTACAACGCAAAGTCGACGTTTCACAAAAGCGCAGACGAGCTGCTACGTGAGATGAAAACCGTGTTCACGTCCAACGAACGAAAACTCGAACGTCGGCGTAAATTCGAAAAACGGGCATGGGGGCCTGAAAAAAGCTTCATCAGCTATAACAACGATAAGTGCACATTGAGCAGCGACTTGAACCTTAGCGACGAAGAGTTTGCCGACTACCTTGAATGTGCTCCAAGAAGACTTTCGTACAAAGAAAAGTTAGAGTTGCAGAAAGTAATCGATGAATACTTAGAAAAAGGTTACATACGCCCTAGTGAGTCAGAGTTTGTGTCACCCATATTGTTAGTTAAAATGAAAACGGGTGAACTTAGTTTGTGCGTCGACTACGGGGAATTAAACAAAGTTACGGCAAAGAATAGTTATCCAATGCCACTTACAGACTAGAGTTGGGACTTTTAGTTCATTTCGCTGATCGATCAACCTAGTTCAAATCGCTTAAGTGAACTAGTTCGTTTAGTTCATTCTCGTTCATTTTAGTTTTCAAAATGTCTAAATTTCTTTAATGAAATGATTGCAAAACGCGCCAAATACACAACATAAGTCAACATAAAATACAAAATGCTGCAAATAAGAATTCTTTGAACTTTTTTGCAACCATTTATATTTGTGCACAGTTGTGTTGTATTTGGTGTATTAGCTTTTAATAGCTCTTCCGTATTGATTTTTAACTCAATGAAATATTTCGTAGGTATATCGTGTAAAAATTGTTGTAATACATTTTTTTTTGTTATGCCAATAAACAATTGACTCTTGACATCGAGGGCGCATTTAATAACATTGAGGTTGACACCATCATAGACTCTTTGATAGATATTGGTGTTGACGACAGTGTTTGTAGATGAATACGATCGATGCTAGTCAATAGAATCATTCAGGCAACAAATGGGGCTAGCTCTATTATACATCATGTGAACAGGGGCACTCCACAGGGCGGAGTGCTCTCACCACTGCTATGGGTGATAGCCCTGAACGGTATATTGCTAGAACTCAATAGAGGGGGAGTCAAAGTTGTGGCGTATGCGGATGATGTTGTAACAGCAGCCACAGGTCCATTCCTCTCTACCGTTAGCGAAATCCTTGAAGGAACCCTGGGAAGGCTACATGCCTGGGCTACGAGAAGCGGCCTAAATGTGAACCCAGCCAAGACAGAACTTATCCTATTTACAAACAGACACAAACTACCACAATTCAAGCTACCATCGCTAGACGGCAAGGCGCTCTCATTGACCCCCAGCGCAAAGTATCTTGGAGTCGTGCTGGATAACAAACTTAACTGGAAAACCAATGTCGAATTCCGTAGACAGAAGGCCTACATAGCATACTACACTTGCAAGAGAATCTTCAGTAGAAACTGGGGACTAAATCCTAAACTTGTGATGTGGATGTATACCGCGATCATAAGACCAATTCTAACATACGGCGCCTTGGTTTGGTGGCCCGGCCTAAGCAGACAATATAATGTCAGCAAGCTAAGAAGCATACAAAGGGCAGCAAGCGCAGGAGTAACAGGCGCACTAAGATCCTGCCCGGCAGAAGCTTTAAACGCCATCCTCAATTTAATTCCTATTGATCTCCACCTGAAAGAAGTGGCTATGAAATCGGCGGTCAGACTCAGAGAGTCGGGCCTTTGGAGGACTAGACACTTCGGACATGGGTTGATCATAAATCAAATGCAATTAAATAGGACGACAGATTATATCGTAGGCAATTTGGACTTCAGCTGTAACGTGCAAGTGCTATTCCCATCCAGAAGGGACTGGAGAAGAGACCGAGTGGCCGACCGAGAGAAGATCTCTCTATACACCGATGGATCCAAGATGGATTGCGGTGTGGGAGCAGGTGTCTACTCCAAGGAACTCGGCGTGGCTCTGTCTCTACGGTTGGGAAATAATACAAGCATCTTCCAAGCGGAAGTCCTAGGGATCCTAGAAGCCTGCAAAATCCTAGGCAATAGAGTTGGACACAGCGGTAAAGCAACAATATACTCTGACAGCCAGGCGGCGCTATTGGCAATAGCGTCACCGGTTACCAAATCCAAGCTAGTTGGGGAATGCAAAGTAATATTGCGCTCAGTGTCTCAGTCAAATACCGTCTCTCTTGTCTGGGTTCCCGGACATAGGAACATAGAAGGCAATGAGAAGGCGGATGAGTTGGCGAAGGCAGGAGCCGGTTTGGATGAATCCCAGGCAGTGGCATTGGGTTGCCCTCTTGGAGTAGTCCAAAGAGAGATTACTACGCATTTCCTTGAACTGGCTAGACGCAGGTGGTCAGATATACAGACTTGCAAGATAGCGAGAAAACTATGGCCTGACTATAACAGGGCAAAAACCTTGGACCTGCTAAGCAGATCAAGGCCAGAGGTATTTAGAATTTTAGCAACCATCACGGGCCACTGGCCCATAGGCAAACATGCGGCAAAAATAGGTCTACCCCATAATATGATTTGCCGCAGCTGTCAACTAGAAGATAGCGAAGAAAGTGTCCAGCATTTCCTGTGTGAATGTCCAGGCCTTTCGAACATTAGACACAAGACGTTAGGAAAACATCTAGTAGCAGAACTAACCGACCTATCAGGAGCTACCATTAGCGAAATCGGCAGATTCATTAGAGAGTCGTAATGGTTCGACCTAGCAACATAGGAAGTGCATAGACAAGATATTTATCCCCCGCGAGAAGTGCATCAAAATGGCGCAATAATGCGCTAATTGTATCCTAGGCAGCGACTAGGAAGCACTGCAACCAACCAACCAAACAATTGAATATAGTGAGTCTGAAAAATAAAACAGTACTAATTTTTTTATCAACACAGTTGAAATATTATATTGAGAATAACGTAAAAACAAAAACATAAATATTTCTTATAAGAAATTCAGTTGAGATCATACATGTACTATATGAAGGCCTTTTTAACAATTCAGTATGTACATACATACAGATGCCTTCAACTAATTACCACCGAAATTCAAAACGATATTCTTTGCAACTTTTGTTTATTTGTTTATTTTTAATAATTTTCATTTAAAATATAATTCAATCTACAACTGAAACAACATAAATAAAAGTTTCAAAGCTTGCACAAATTTCAGACAAATTTATCAAACTAAAAAAAAATTGTCATCAAAAATAATATTTGGAAAATTTTCGGCTATTCAATTTAATTCTAGTAAAGAGCAAATTTCAAGTCGCTAAAAATTACCACTAATTTTTTAGAATTTTTTTTTTGTGGAGGGTGTTGCGGATTATTTTCATATAAAAATAGATTTTGATCAAGCGTTATATGGAAGAAAATGTGCAACACCCTCCACAAAAAAATTCTAAAAAACCAACGGTAATGTTTAGCCACTTGAAGCATGCACTTTATTAGATCAAAATTGCATAGGCTACAAAACTGCATACCCGAAAATTTTTTAAACGTTCTAATTTTGAAAATTTTTTGAAGTTTGATTAATTTTTCTGGAATTTGTGCGAGTTTTGAAACTTTTATTTATGTTGTTTCAGTTGTAGATTTAATTATGTTTTAAATGAAAATTATTAAAAATAAATAAATAAACAAAAGTTGCAAACAATATCATTTTGAATTTCGGTGGTAATTAGTTGAAGGCGTGTTTACATGCATATTTATATAAGATACATAAAATGACAATTTAATAAAAAGTATGACTTAGGTAGTTCTTTTTTTTTAACAAATGATCACATTAAATTTACAAGTCCAATTTTACAAGTTACTGTGCAAAAATACTAAGTTTTGTACTCTGCTTGGTTTCAATAATGTTCGCCTATCCCTTAGAATTTGACCTGTACTGGAGAATACCCTTTCACAAGGGACTGATGTAGCTACTATACAAAATCGTTTTAAAACGTATCTGTACAAATGGGGATATACTTCCTTACGAGCATGCCACCAGTCTAAAGGATCTTGAGTACGCCCTAAGTATGGCTCATTCAAATATTTGTCTATTTCAACAAATGCAGCAACCTTTGAACGTTTTACTGAACTTCTGACCTCGTTATCATAATCTTCCCAGATATTATCTGTTGCTTGCGACTGGGTACTGCAAATCGGAATTTCGTTCTCATTTAAGGGTTTATCTATTCGTACAACTTTGCTCTTTAAGGAATGAATAATTTTTTGGCAAGCCAATTCATGTCTAAAACCTTTCTTCTTAAATCTAGGATCGAGAATAGTTGACGCTGAGTACAGAAAATTAGTTTCCAAATTTTTAAAACGGTTTTGCATAGTAAGCTTTGGTGATTCTTGCAACAACAATAATTTGCCACATAGAGGAGAATTGTTTGCCAAAGAATTTTGAATTAAATTATTGAGAACGACAACTTTTGATGACGTTTTACATTTTTTTCGGAGGATATTTCTATAGTTACTTCGTAAAACGGCTTTAGTATTGGCAAGGCTCCTTCAATGATTTCCCATTCAATATTACTTATTATAAGATCTGAGCGCAATATTGCTATTGTACTCATTACAGCATCTTTTACTTCTACAATTCGGGAAAGCATTTCGTATGTTGAGTTCCACCTTGTGGGTACGCTCTGCTTAAGTTTTAGAACAGGCATTTGCATTTGAACTTGAAAATCCTTCAGCCTTTTTGTTCCTTGAGTGCTACGATTAAAATACTCCGCAATATTTTTAACCTTTCCTGCAATATCTGCGATTTCACCGAGTCCTTTTTGAACGACTAAATTTAATAAGTGTGCAAAGCAACTTATTGAACGCCATTGACCCAATTTTACTGCGCTTAGAATATTTGCTGCACTGTCACTTACTGTAGCAGCCACTTTATGAGATACATTCCAACGCTCCATCACTTCTTTTAAAAAATTACATAAATTTGCACCGGTATGACTAGCGTCAAATTCCTCACAACATAAAAGAGCCGAGCAAAGCTTAGTGTTGTCATCAATAAAGTGCGCTGTTGCAGCGATGTAACTTACATTAGTGGAAGACGTCCAACCATCGGTAGTAAGGCATACCGCAAACGTCTGCTGTAGCTTTTCCCTGACTTCAGCTTCAATATCATTGCAAACACGTGGAATAAGCTTTTGCGAAAGTGTCTTTCTGCACGGCATTGTGTAGGTGGAACACTTAGACACCATCTCTACAAACTTTACCAACTCAGGCTCATCTACCATTCGCAATGCGTGATGTCCTTTTGCTATCATTTTTACTAACTGCATGTTAATTTTCTCCTCTGATCCCTTGGTTGGGCGCTTTTTGTAAAAATTGTTTATTGAGAGTTGTTCGCTGTGTGTTGGTTGCTCATTTTGTCCCGGTTGCTCGTGCTGCGCTGGTTGATCGCTCTGAGGCGGCTGTTCCGATGTGCCGCTGTTTATTTGCTTTGCCTTTGTATTAATAAAAGGATGCCTTATGGATCCTCCGTTGTAGCTGATGGAAACCAAACAATGCTTACCATAAGCGCGCTTCCCATCACAGTTTTTAAAGTAATTCCAAATTTCACTTCGTTTCCCTGCCATCTGTAAAAGAGAACATATGTATATTTCTTTAATATATACACCCCTATGCTGTAATCCGAATGTTCGTACCTACGAACTCGTAGCTCCGTTTCGAAAATTCGAAAATTGATATGCTGTAATCCGATCGTAACTATCAGCGGCGCTGCCAGCTAAAAACGTGAAATTCGAAGTTCTTAATCAGCTGCTTTGACAGAAACAAATCAAAATAAATATAATCGCAAGTGAATAGTGAAATTAAAAAAAAAAAATAGTTGAATCATTATTTGAAAAGACTTTTCCTTAATTAAGTAGAATACAAAGGATTCAGTGGCCGGTGCACCTGCACTGGCCCCACAATTACCTAATTTTACTACCTTTTATTTATTTTGCTCATCTCGCAGAACAACGAAAATGGCTATCAATTTATGTAGTTATATACATAATTAGATAATATTCGGTGAAAATTTCGCTTGCAGTAATTTCTACATGGTAAGTGCTCCGCCAATATTTGGTTTCATACGGATTCGGATACCTTCCTCATGTCCCAGGAGGAAGAACACCTAACAGTTGCATTAATATACAAAGGAGACTGATAGGAGATTGTTCTGTTAGCTTAAATGATAAAATGTAAGTTCCCTCCTTTTAAGGGCCTCCATTTCACTAGATATTGACCTGCTTTAATTCTTGGAACGCTCCTTTTACAAAGCCTCGACCAATGTCCGGCCTTTCGCTCATGCATTCCACCAGTTTTTCGTATTGCGAGCGATTTGTTGTGATCTTCGATATGATAATTTTGTAAACATTTAATAATCAATTTTGTTTTCTATTCACACTTCAACTTACATACATACTTTTGCGTTTACACTCTTTATTTTATTGATATTTTAACACAATTTGTTTCGCTCCGACACGAGTTGCTATTCGTACAAAATTTCCGACAAATACATAAAAATGACAGCTACATCGGATTCAGGCATACCAACATTACGAATTTCGAAGATGGCCTACGAATTTCGGAACGACAACGCGGATTACAGCATACCAATTTTAGGATTCGTAGCAAAATCGAATCTACGACGGATTACAGCATAGGGGTGATAATAATTTAGTGAATAATAATGAAATAAAATACTCACTTTTTATACAGAACAACCAACGCTTTGTTTGAGCGCAAACAAATGAACGCGGGAAATTGTAGCTTTTTCTTCACCAAATGTCATTCATCATTTTCGTTGAAATGACAATTGTCACATTCGTTGAAAGTAGTGTTGCCGAGGAAAAAAAATTTGTATTATGTAGTTGCAAAATGCTGTCTCATGCATTTAGTAATAGAGCCAAATGACTATTTTAGGAATATATGTAATAAAGAAACAGGCAACTGGGAGCAAATAGCTCGTTTAAAATTTCGAACTAGTTCGTTCGATCAATTCAACGACCTAGTTCATTGAACGACCTAGTTCGTGAACTTCCCAACTCTATTACAGACCATTTGTTAGACATGTTAGCGAACAAGAAATTTTTCAGAAAGCTGGATCTGAAGAACGGGTTTTTCCACGTTTTCATGAGCGAAGACTCGATAAACTATACGTCGTTTAGGGCAGTATGAATTCTTGAGAATGCCGTTCGGATTGAAAAATGCGCCGGCAACATTCCGAAAGTTTATTAATGCAATTTTTTCACAGATGATTCGCAAGGGCGAGGTTATAGTTTATCTCGACGATATAATGATAGCAACGGAGAACATCAAAGAACATATGTATATGTGGTCCAGTGGAATAACAACACAATTCAAAAAAAGACCCTCAATCCTCTTAAGGGCTCATTTCTCTAATCCTTATGTAATCTTAAGTGCTTTTTTTAGTTGTGTCGTTATTCCAGAGGACCATCGGACAGCGTGCCGTGGGAATTATTGCGAATTTCGCAAAATGTTTCGGTGGCTGAAATTCTAAACGCTATATTTTCAATTACCACTGGAAAAATTTATTTATGCAAACGAGTATGGAAGCTTCGAAGACGCGCAAATGGGAAAAACATAGTCCGGTGTACTTTTGTTCAGGCCTACTGCGCGTGTTATATTTTTAAAGAAACAAAGAAGTATTTTAGTTCATTTTTTTTCACAGCCATTTTGTTGTAAATCGAACAGTTGTCATCGTATAATTACTAGGCACACCTTGGTTTAGAGTAAAAAGCCTGGCCTTTAACTTGGTAAAAGACCCGCAGCTATACAATAATACATATTTGTGAATAAACAATTCCGATATACTTTATGTTAGTAAGATACCCTTTTATAGAAGGTTAGGTAAGGTTATACGGCCAGGCCGAAGCCACGCGGTGACCCTTTTAAAAAAATCCTTGAATGAATTTTGTCCACCTACCTTGTTCCACACGATACACTGTGCATCGATAAAATTATAATAATAATAATAATAATAATAATAATAATAATAATAATAATAATAATAATAATCCCAACGGTTGTTGCCCTGCATTCCCGCCCATCCGCACGAGGGGCGCAGTCCGCATGACGTACGGAACCAGTATTTTCAATTTTTGCGCCGAGTCACGATAGGCAGGAGTTTGTTAAGTGTCGAGCTCTAAAACTGTTCAGCTACAGAACTAAATTCATCAGCCGATTTTATGTCATTATGTTCATGATACATTTATTGAGAGAGGAGAGTACCGCTTTCTTAATACTGAAAGGCGGATCTGATATATCAAACGTGCTGGAATGAGAGTTAAAATCCTTGAATAAGCAACGGAGTGGGTCGTGCAATTCAAAATTAGTTTTACAAGCTTTCAGAAATAGGGGACATAAGTGTCTTGATACCCGGGAGGGAACATTAAGGCTGACTTCACCCAGAAGAAGCGGACTTGAAATTGAGCATGTTAGTAATTTAACTATAAAAATTGTACCAAGCATTTGCCTGCGACCGGAAAGTGTAGGAAGATTAACAAGTTTTAATCGGCTCGTATAAGGGGGGAGGTTATATTCAGAATCCCAACGGAAATTTCTTAAAGCAAAAAGTAGGAATCGTTTTTGAATTGATTCTATCTTGTCTGAGTTAATTTGATACCTTGGATTCCAAACCACCGAACCTTATTCCAGATTTGGTCTAACTAATGTTGTAAACAGGGTTTTAGTGATATAAGTGTCACAAAATTCTTTTGACCATCGTTTCACAAATGCAAGTACACCTTTATGGGCTGTTTTTGCTTACGCGTAAAAGCACATTTAGCGCATTTAGCTCTAAATGCTACTCTAAATGTACATTTATCCATACAAAATTCGTCACCTAAATGCAACTCCAATCTTGCATTAAGAATCTAAATGCTAAAAGCAACCCTGTGATCTTCCAAAATTTCCACGATTCGAACATGGTTTAAAGATAAAAAGTGGCAACATTGCTTTTTCGAGTATACAGTTGCTAGCTGCGTTTCAGTGATCGCCGATCGAGATTTGTTTTATTTTACATTACATATTTGGATAAAGAAAAGTTAAGCAAATTCAACATCGATGTGATGCTGATAGAAATCTGGATCAATTTGTGATCAACTCTGTTTGTTTTGTTTCCTAATTAAGTGAGGAAATTTCAATTGACAGCACCGACAAATGAATATATACACAAACAAATGTTCGGTTATGGTTAAAACAATTAAATTTTTTGTATTGAATTTTTGGTTTAAAATTTATTTTTTCCTTTTCAGTATGGTTTTTGCACATTATCTTCTGCTTGAGAATTGATCGTAATATATACGGATCTAAATAAGAGACTGGAACACGGCTGTTTGTCAAAAGCATACGATTTCGAACTCGCGTAAATGTACATTTGCTAAATGCTATAGCATGAACACTCTTCGAAAACATATGTTCGAAAGTGCTAAATGTTGCATTTTAAATGCAGCAAAAACGCTGCATTAGCCTTGTTGACTGTGACATTAATGTGAAGATTAAAATTAAGCTTAGGATCCATTGTGATACCAAGGTCCACAAAATTGTATACCTGTTCCAGGTTATGGTTACCTATTGTATAAGAAGAGGGATGAACAGCTCTTCGCGAGAAGCACATTAATTTACATTTCTTGAGATTTAGAGGCATAAGATTTACTTTACACCAGTAAGCCATGCTGCAAAGACCTTTCTATAATTGAAACGTACGATTTATAAAGCAAGAACAGAACCGGGCCTAGGTAGCTACCTTGAGGGACTCCTGAAGTAACATCAATGACGGCAGAGATAGTATTTTTAAACATTACCCTTTGTGATCTATCATAGAGGTATGAACGTAGAAGATTAGGTGGAAGACCAAGAAGGCTCAGTTTATAGATGAGCAACGAGTGGCACACTTTGTCAAATGCTCTACTGAAGTCAGTATATATAACATCAACAGTTTTGCTTTCACTAAATGCCTTTGAGATATAGGATGTTAACTCAAGTAAATTTGTAGAAGTTGATTTGCCCTTGCAAAATCCATGTTGACTATACGAAATGCTAGAAGAGATAGAATGCGTCAACTGATTTGTTATAATTGCTTCAAATAATTTAGGAATTGAAGAAAGCTTAGCTATTCCCCGGTAGTTCTCCACTGAAGATCTGCTACCGCTTTTATGTTGCGGGGTTATGAACGATTCCTTCCATATAGTTGGAAAAACGCCCTCTTTAAGAGACAAATTAAATAACGCTGTTAACGGCTCATAGAGATAATCAGCACAATTTATAATAATACAAGCAGGGATCTGGTCAGGACCATTACTGAAGGACTGCTTTAAGGATTTCGGATAAACTACTACATCATCCGGAGATATTATTGGGATATTTATTGAGTTCATTGGACATAGTTTAAAAGGATAGTCAATGTTACCATGTGAGTTAATGGAATAATTGAGGAGACGGTATTTTGATACTTCATGGCGGAAGGAAACCCACGTACATTTCGCTTGGAGTTTACGAAGTCATAAAATGATTTGGGGTTATATGTTATACGCCGTTTGATTTTACACAAGTAAGCTTCATAACACTTTTT